TGTAAGGAAAAAGTAGAAAAGTGGAGCCTTGATGGGCCATATAAACCAAAATTATAAGGAAGCTGAAATGATGAGTAAAACAGAAACTGGGAACTATAGGAAAGATAACCTGAGCCAAGGGGGAAATTCAGGCAGTAGTGAGGAGGAATAGACCCGAGCCCGGTTAATGGTAGAACACTGGAGTGAGAAGTCTCAGAGTCTTGCTGCTGAACCCTGCAGCTGCCATGCGTCTAGGTCGTTCCTGTGACTCCCACTGCACTCTGCTTCCTGAACTTTGAGTTGCCTAAAATCTCTTTCTCCTTATAGTTCTTTTACCATATCCTTTACCCCTTAAGATAACTGAAGAGTCTCTATCCCTTGCAAACAAGGAACATAAAGAAAACAGTTCAAATCAAATCTTTCCTGGCCTCTGAGATGCTCATTGGCTGGCCCCACATGCCCATCCAGCCCTACAGTCCCATAACTCCTCAACAAGAACACACCACTTCAGAAAGAACAGTCTTGCAGGACCATCACTGACTGCCCCCCATACCTATGTACACCGCAGTACATCATGTACTGCGTGTATCTCCTGTCTCCATACCTTTGCTGGCCCTTCTGCCTCAAATGCACTTAACTTCTCTTCTCCCAACCAACTCATGCTTTAAACCCTGCATCCTCCAGGAAGACTCTCTTAGCCTTGCCAGCCCACATTACTTCTCCCTCCTCTTACCTGTGAAACCCTAGACTCTGAATCACACAATCTAGCACCCCATTTTATGCTGACCTGTATTTTTCTCTACTTATTCCATGTTTTTAAGTCTCCCCAACTGGCTCTTGAACCCATGAGAAGCAGGAATATATTTCATATTGTTTTCAAGTAGTCCACTCTGTTTCATGAACACAGTAGATATTAATGAGTATGTGTTGTTCAAATAGTATCTACATGAACACTAAAGTCCAAGAGGCATGTCACAGAACCTCATTGCCACAGAACAATCACTAATGAGAAGACTGCACTTGGGGTCTATGCTGAAGTGTTCAAGTTGAGACAACATGCCAAGAGAAGGGGCTCAGCTCAAGGTGAGGCTGTCCTCAGACCCACAGGCCTACTGAGAGAATTACACTTATTTCCTCTAGCAGGGAAGAAAGACAGCAAAGGCATGCGCCCTGGAGATGTTCCCTAAGTGCCTGGTATTAGCAGTGATCTCTCAGTCTACTCTAGGAAAAGCACACAACCCTGACCCTGTCCTCCTTTGGGAACGAGCACCTCAAGGCACAGGCCAGGGAAATGCCAATCTTTCTCTCCTTTCATCCTGGGAGCTTAGGTCCTGGGCTTGCCATACCCTGGAGAAATGCTCTGGTCCCCTCCTCTGAGGACAGCTGCCTTGTCAGGCTAAACCCTAGTCACCTTTGAAAAAGGCCACCATTCAATGTGGGACTTTTAAGTTTCAAGAGATGCGGAACGGCCTTGTTAGAACTTTCCCTCAACCTCAGCATTTCAATATAGGAGGAAAGAATTGCTTTATCCAGTGTCATTTCTAGAATTGATAAGAGACCCACACATCAGCAGTGGCTATTTTGACATTCAATTATGAGTCATAAAATCTCTATTCAACACCCACTCCCTGAGCCCAGGGTATTATTTATTCCAAGGGTTTGATAAGAGGTCTCAACTAAATGCAGCATAATCTGCTTCTGAAAACCATAGTTAAGAAAAGGGCAAGTTTCTTGTCATCCTCAGAAACTGATATGCAAAAAATAAATCTGACTAAGAACATGTGGGTGGGAAGGTACATGGGAAAGAGGATTTAAGAAAAACTTCTCCCATGTTACTCACTCAGAAGCTATTACTGAGCTGTGCCTTTATTTCTTGGTTTCCTGTTTTTGCTTACAGCAGATAAAAACTTGATGGCAATGATCTTAATATTCTCTGTCAGCCTTCCAAGCTCATGGAGGGTGAGGGGCTGGGGCAGAAATTGTTCCTGTCTTTAGGCAGAAAACCAAGATTCAAGAAAATGGGTTCCATCAGCAGATGGAAAATGTGGATGGACCCCAGAGGCTGTTGTGCACACATCTAGAACCACCTCCAGATCTGGGACAGGCACGGCATGTTAGCAAGGAGTCTAGACAGAAATGCAGACATGTGACATCATGAATCTAGAAAATGTAGATGAGAGATGTTAATAGACTTAAAAGGGATTTCTCCTTTATCTAGCTACAGCTAGCCCAGGGTTTGAAATTCCAACATCAGAGGCTCAATCATTTCATTTATTCATTCCTGTATTTGTTACTTTCCACCCCCACCCCCAAGTCTTTTTTTAAAAAGGCAAATACTCTTGAGAGGGATTACATACAGCCATGGACATTTTAGTGTGAATTAATCTGTCAAATTCTTTTACTAAGTGTGTATAGAGAAAAGAGAAGGAGACAGAGAAAGAGAGATGGAGGGAGGGGAACAAAGTCATGTTTTCCTGTCTCCTAAAAACAAATTCATAATCATCCACAATCATCATGACAACTCCGGAACATCACAATGGGTGTCAGCGATGGAAAGCCTCACTTTCAGTTTCCTCTGTATCTGGTCAAGGGGCCTGCCAATTGTCTGAGTCCTTATGTTTGGAGGGATGTTGATGAAAGGAAGTCCAGTTAAGAAGTCCTCACAGTGCCACCTCCTCCCACTTCAAAACCCAACATCACAGCCTTTCATGAAGACTGTCTGAGCTACCATGGCTTTATTCATATTTGCTCCTCTTAGAGTGCTGAGTCCCAGCCCACTGCCTCAGTACTAGCCATTCCTTCTGCCTAGAATGCCATTCCTCCTGAGATTTACGTAAATCACATGCCGCCTTCTCAGGCAGGCCCTTCTTATCTAGCATATGTCTACTCTAGCACATCATCAACTTATTTTTCGCTATAACACTTGTTAGTATCTGATTTCATCTGATTATTTTTATTTACTTGTTCAATGTTTTCTCCCCTCCCTACCACCAATCAGAATTTCATGAGAATTTCAAGAATAGTTTTGTTCTCATATGGGCCTAGAATGGTGCCTGGTCCATAAGAAACACTCAGTAAATACATGCTGAATAAACGAATTAATGGATAGATGAAGGAATGAGTCCCTATTCTTAGCTTCAACATAATTGGATGCCCCCATGAGTTCATTAAGCAGATACTGCTCAGCATATGAAAAGATGCTCCACATCATGTCATCAGAGAAATGCAAATTAAACCTACAATGAGATAAAACTACACACCTATTAGAATGGTCAAAATCCAGAACACTGACAACACAAAATGCTGGTGAGGATGTGGAGCAGCAGAAACTCCCACTCATTGCTGGTGGGAATGCAATATAGTTCAGCCGCTCTGGAAGACAGGCAGTTTCTTATAAAACAAAGCATACTCTTACCATACAACTCAGCAATTGTGCTCCTTGGTATTTGCCCAAAGGAGTTGAAAACCTCTCCACATAAAAACCTGCACACAGAAGGCTATAGCAGCTTTATTCATAATCTCCAAAACTTGGAAGTAGCCACGATGTCCTTCAGTAGGTGAATGGTTAAATAAACTGTGGTAATCCAAACTGTCTTAACTCTGAAAATGGCTCATTATGTCCTTATAGCTGCATCAGTTAGGCCTTGTCCTTGCATTGTGTTGTCAGTATGAGATTGATGGGCCTGAGGCAGAAAAAAAAGTAATTTGTACTGTGATGTTTGTTGTGAAGGATTTCCCACTGGGCAGTTTGGGTTAAAACATTCACATATGTGTTAATCCCCTCTCAAGAAACCTTGATGCAGTACAAACCTGCCACTGAGACCTTATGCAGTCAGGCCGCTGCTGACACACACATAGTTTGAAGCCATTGGCCATTTGCTACAGGGGGACAGGGCACCCCAGCAATGCAGTCTCACAGGACATATAGCCATTGTCCTTACAGAACCACAACCATTCATTCTGACCATGCTCTCACCTCAGGTCAGTCTCTACTTCACTCATCTCAGTCCCAGCAGGACCCAGCCACTTGCAAAGATTTCTAGAAAACATCTACCACTTCCTCCATCAACTACTGCAATCCCTGATCTAACAGGACATTCTTAACTTAACTCTTACCTGATTCTCACACTGCTGTGGTGCCCAGCAAAATCACCATGTCCCCCTATAGGCAGGGGGCCCAGTACTAAACATCCACAGGGAGGTAAGCATGTATATAGCACAGTCCTTGACACCCGGGAATTTATACTCCAAGTAGAGAGTAAAACTGAGTCACAGAAAAAAGTAGTCAGCTATACAAATATGGTACTATATAATAAAATGGTGCCAACCAAGGATTATAGAAGGAGAAAAGGATGATTCGCTTCCAATTTGGGGGATTACAGATGACATTATAGAGGGTGTGGTATTTGAACAGGGCCTAGAAAAAAACCACATGAAATTTCAGTCATCAGAGAAGGAAGAATAATTGAGCAAACAGGAATGAACAAACAGGAAAAATAAAAAGACCTTGAAATACAGATAATTCTGGGAACAAAAAAGAATTTTTAAAAATTCTAATTATTTTCTTCAGAGTGATGTGAGATGACCTTTGCATCTATTAAATATGGACAGGATACTACAAACAATGAACAGGGAACAAGACAAAGCTTCAAAATTTAAAATATAATTGCCAAAACAAGAGGGCTGGATAGTGAGTGTCCAAGAGTAAATGTCAGGATAACCCAACCATTAGAAATATTGAACTGAAGGGAGGGGACAGAAAGGAAAGCAGGCAGACAATTAGTAGAACAGTCATGATAATAAAATAAACAACAGAAGCTATGGATTACCTAACTCCTAAAAGTGATACTTGCTTTACATATATTATCTCATTTAATCCTCACAAAACATGGCAAAGGTAGGTACTATTAACAAGACACTGAGGTTCAAAGAAATACGGGAACTTCCTCATGTTAGACAGGTAGCAAGTGGCTGAGGTATATCTGACTCCAAGACTATTGCCCTTAACCCTCTCATTCTAGGAAGGCAGAGGGGAAGCAGCAGGAGAAACAGATTGGTGATGCCAGACTGGAGGCTGCTGTGTATGGGAACAAAGTCCTTCAGGAGTTGGGAAGGGGTAAGGTTTCAGGAACAGGTTGGGGAATGGGAAAGTGATGGAAAATTAGCCTGCAGAAGGATGAGGGGCCTTTCTTCCTCCAACACTCTGAACATTGCTGATGAGCCCCAGGGAAGCTGAGGCACAGTGCAGCGGGAACAGACAGGCATCAAATCCAGCAGAACCTTGAAACCAACACCAAGCCTGCTTCCAAGAGCAAGCTGCTTATGTCTGATGACTCATTCCCCAGGACAAGGCCAGCTCCTAGCCAGCGGCCACTAAGGATGCTGCGGCAGGGCACTGCTCCACATTGCTAGGTGCCGTCACATCCAGACACCCTCCGCTGGTCTCCGGGAAGTGCAGCCAAAGTTTAAAGCCACTTTTGACTTTGTGTTACTAAACCATTTTATTCCTTTTGGCCAAATGCAGGACAAAAAGGATAAGAGCAAACCAAGGAGGGAATGTTGCAATTTCAAATTACTCCACAAAATGTTTTCTAGATGCTTCTGAGCTGGCTACCTATAAAGGGGAGGAGGGGCACAAAAAAATTGACTACCCCACTGTTGAGAATTGTTCAAGAGTAGAAGCCTGCAAGTCTGAATTCCAAAATCCCAAAGCAGGTGGCCTTTTCAAAGAGCTAAGTTGATCTTATCACTAGCTTTAGTCTGAATTTGCTGCACATTTCCTCCCTAATCCAGGATGTGATAAGAAACCAACATAACAGGAATTCATCTTCCCCCAAGGAAAGGTGAGCATCTCCGAGTTCAACAGAAACAACTGGAACCTAATTACATCGCCTCTTTTCAAGCCTTCCAGTGAAAGTGTAAAAAGAAAGAGGACTGAAAGGCTGTTTATCACAGCTACAAAGTGACCACATTTTCTTTTTTAAAATGACACATCAAGTAGCTGCCATTTTTAGAAAATGAGCTGAAATCAGAGCAAGTGTCACTCTGTAACAAAAAATAAAGACCTTTTTTGGGAGCTTTGGAACCTGGACCCCGAAAAGCAGTATTTCCCGGCCCCAAAGAGCAGTATTTCTTTGTTATATTTGATTAATATTACACACAGGGTAGGCTAGGAAGGCTGGTCTGGAGAAAGAAAAGCACCTTTGTGAAGAAAAACAAGTCTGTGGCCTACACGGAGCTAAGCACACGTTTAATTTTGTCTTTTAAACTTCTCAGCAGACTGCAGATCTATAAAGGGAATCACTGAAAGTGAAGATAACGTTGACTTACCCAGAGCATGGGGCTGTTTTCCGCAAGATGGGGCGAGAAGTGAGAAAGCAAATTCTTTGCTTCAGTTACACAAACTCCCTCTCCTTTGCAGAGAAACTTGAAAGCTGAAACAGAGCCAGACGCTACTGCGGGAGCCTCCACGAATAGCTCTGTGCTGGTCAAATACTGACATCTACTGGTCAGTTCTGAAATGTGTTTTTATTTCTGAAAGTGATCCGTTTGCAACAGAATAAATTCCCCTGTGCTTTTTATTGTGGAGAATTTTCCTTCTTTTGCCCTTTGGAAACGATTGAACTAAAATTCAGTTAATATTTCTATAAAATATGCAGTTATTTAATTTATATTTTTGGTTTTAAGAAAACAACAAGGATTGTTAGTCTCATTAACTGTGGTTTGGCAGCTGTGAGAAAAAAATGCACAGGATCTCTAACCTGAACTTGTTGGGCATAATAATTATCTCTTCTACCCATAAAGCACTAATCAGTTCCCAAAGCATGGCCAGTTATATTAGCTCATTAGATATTCAACAACCCTGTGAGATGGGAAGATCAGGATATCCTATTTTTCAGAAAAGGACATAAAGGACCAGAAAATCTAGTTAATACATCCAAGGTCACAGAGCAATCAGAGGTGGTGCTAGTTCCAGAATCCAGGTTTTCCAGTTTATAGGTCAGGCTTCTTATCATCAAGGCATAGTTCCCTTAGTGGAAAGAAAAAAATTACTCTCAGCTGGCAAAGGAAAAGGCAGATGGGGACATACAACACACACACCCTTCCTCTTGCTCTGTACTGTTAAAGCCCTGACATTAACTAATGTGCAGAGGGAGAAAGCCACTGTGGACGACAGCTGCACTCCATTTTAGTACATCAAGAAAGACTTGGCTAAAGCTAATGGACCCACTGGGCATTATTAACCTTCCCCTCCAGCATACCAGAATCAGCCACCACAATGAAGTGCAGGAGTTGATCTTTAAAAACACTGGACTATTATCCAAAGAGACTGAGAACTGGTTACCTTTTGCCCAGGTTTATCCACCTTCCCTCAACCAGGGCACAGAGCTACAGCCTGATGATGCTAACAAGCTTCCTAATTATCATCAAACCTGGAGGAACATAGGGGACCTGCGGACAAGGGAGGCACACCTGAGGGCAAGGTGAATGGATTTTAAATTTATAAATTTCTCTTTTCTGTGGGCAACTTACCAAAAGCATAAGAAATTTACTGAGGTTTTCTTCTAACCAAATAGCTGGGACTCTAAAAGAGGCATTGTCTTGTGAACAGGTTTTGGCCCCGGCAAGTTCACTATGGATTCACTGTGACCAAAGAAATGACAGTAGAACGTTCTTGGGGGTGAAAGGGGGGGGTGAAAGGGTTATACCCAACTTTATTTCCATGGTGGCAGGTCAATCACTAAAATCCGATCCACCCAGAGCAAGTCTTCACGCAGCAAGCTGGTCCCTGCCTCTGGGCCTCTCCACCCGCACAGCTGTCCCAGTCTCTGTCCTCGGTGCTGCCACCACTCCAGCCTCTGCTCTGCTCTCCTGCAGCCTTGCAGCCATGCCACCATGTCACCCAGAGCATTGGGCAGAGCTGTTTATATAGTCAATAGCAAGCTAGCCAACCAGGGCCTGGCCACAGGAACCTTCATTTTATCCGCACTCCACCCCTCCAGGATTCTCGCCTCCAAATCTATGTGCCCTCAATTCTCTGCAATGGTCCCTGTGCAAGGAAGCTGGAACATTGTAACCAAATTCTATAATCTAAGATAATATACAAATAACAAAAATTACAACAAATTATAATAACCCTCAAGCCTGAGGAAATTCATTGCCACCAAGTGATCATCCTGGCTGTATTCAAACCAGTTCTATTTAAAGGAGATAACCAAAGGGCCATGGGTGGGCCTTACAATACCCACCTTCTCCAGCATCTCCAGCAGAAAGTCTTGCAGACACACAGGCCGATCCTGTTGCTTTATCTCTGCCTCTGCTCGTCCTCAGCAGCCAGAACCGCTGCCCTGGTCTCAATTGCCACAGCTCCAGTCCAATTTCTTTCTGTCTGCTCCTGCCTTTTCAAACTAACCCACATCTGGGTCCTCATGACCTTCACAGGGCCCTTTGAATCCTTCCTTCGAGAAGCAGACTGCATCTCCTGTTGTGCTTGAGCCTGAGGATAGAGACAGAGCATGGGGCGCTCCACGACCTGGGGAGGGGCTGCCCCACTCCTGAAAGAACCTGTAGTTGCCGAGTTCTCCTGGCTTCCCACCAGCTTTAAACCAGGTGGGGTCTCCACCGAGGGGCCAATGCCTCCGGCACCCACAGGGCCTCCACCTCCAACCTGTTCGTCAAACCTCCAGTCCTCCATTTCTGGAGCTGACGGCTCTACTACATCCTGCTCTTGCCCCCCCACACCTGGCAGCCTGAGTGCTGCTGCTTCTCGTGGCACTCTTCTCAGGCTGCTGCTCCTTCTTGTGCTGCTTCCTCTTGGGCCACAGCACTTCGCAGTGATGCCATTTTAGGCAGCTTTCTCTTGGGGTGGACTCCAGGCCTCCACCCCTTCACAGCACATGTCCACAGGAGACACTTGAATGTCTCCCCGTCCATAGGTGCAGCCCGCTGAAACACTCCTTCCATGAGGGCAGCCTGTTCTTTTCCTTGGTCATCAATGAATGCTGCCTACATCGCCAATTGTCTTGCCAATGGGTTTCAGCCACAGGCAAGCTCACTATGAATTCAGGGCGAACAAAGAAATGACAGTAGAACACTCTTGGGGTGAAAGGGTTATACCCAACTTTATTTCCACAGTGGCAGATCAATCACTAGAATCCGGTCCCCTCAGGGTGAGTCTGAATACAGCAAGCTGGTCTCTGCCTCTGGGCCTCTTTGCCCCTGCAGCCATCTCAGTCTCTGTCCTTGGCGCTGAGATCACTCCAGCCTCTGCTGTCCTGCAGCTGAGCCACCCTGTTGCCCAGAGCACTAGGCAGAGCTCTTTATATAGAGTCAATAACAATGTATTGCCCACACATGTGTAGTGAGCAAGCCAACAAGGGCCAGGTGAGATTCCTGGCCATAGGAACCTTCACTTTATCCACAGTAATTAACAAAGCATCTCAGTCATTTGATCCATTCTCCCTCCTCCAAAACAGTACACATGAGGAGCCATGGACATACAATGGGGAAATGACAACCTCTTCAACAGTTGGTGTTGGCAAAACTGGACAGCTACATGTAGAAGAATGAAACTGGATCATTATCTAACCCCATACACAAAAGTAAATTCGAAATGGATCAAAGACCTGAATGTAAGTCATGAAACCATAAAACTCTTAGAAAAAAACAGGCAAAAATCTCTTGGACATAAACATGAGTGACTTCTTCATGAACATATCTCCCCAGGCAAGGGAAATAAAAGCAAAAATGAACAAGTGGGACTATATCAAGCTGAAAAGCTTCTGTACAGCAAAGGACACCATCAATAGAACAAAAACGTATCCTACAGTATCGGAGAATATTTTCATAAATGACAGATCTGATAAAGGGTTGACATCCAAAATATATAAAGAAATATATAAAGAACTCACACACCTCAACAAACAAAAACCAAATAACCCAATTAAAAAATGGGCAGAGTTGCTGAACAGACAGTTCTCCAAAGAAGAAATTCACATGGCCCACAGACACATGAAAAGATGCTCCACATCGCTAATGATCAGAGAAATGCAAACTAAAACCACAATGAGATATCACCTCACACCAGTAAGGATCGCCACCATCCAAAAGACAAACAACAACAAATGTTGGCGAGGTTGTGAAGAAAGGGGAACCCTCCTACACTGCTGGTGGGAATGTAAATTAATTCAACCATTGTGGAAAGGACTATGGAGGTTCCTCAAAAAGCTCAAAATAGAAATACCATTTGACCCAGGAATTCCACTTCTAGGAATTTACCTTAAGAATGCAGCAGTCCAGTTTGAAAAAGACAGATGCACCCTATGTTTATCACAGCACTATTTACAATAGCCAAGAAATGGAAGCAACCTAAGTGTCCATCAGTAGATGAATGGATAAAGAAGATGTGGTAC